TCATCAAGACTACACATAAAATGTTTTCGTACTCCTACATGGAAAATATATACATAATATTTTATAAGATGATCTATTTCAGGGTCTACTATTAATTATTGTTTAAATAGGTTGAATTTGTATGAAAGTATTATTTTCATACGTTTTAATGTCATTGCAAAACAACGTTTTTTTTTTTCAAAAATGTGTATACATACAACTTTTTATCGTAATTATTTTTTCACGTTTTTACTTTTTATATTTTAAAACAGAATATTTTTCGGAATATTTCGATACATAAAAATCGTAATACTCTAATAAGTCTAATAATTTTACCGTGACATTTAAAAATAGATCTTAAATTACCACGTTTATATTATCTGTGTAGTATATATCATAAGTGGCCAACTTGCAGCTTGCAAGCCACATATGACTTTCGTAATTGTCAAATGCGGCTCCTGTCTTATTTACAAAAATCAAAATATAAGTACTATTATTATGAATTTTAATTTTTTAGGTATTAGATTATAAAAAATTATCAAATTATATAAAATGTGTCTATACAAATTTTGGCTCTTGGTATCTTTGTATTTATCTATGTGGCCCGCGAACCTATTCATGTTGGCCACCCCTAGTATATATAGTTAATATTATTTATTATTGACATGTAATAACGAAGGAAAATAACCTTTAAATAATACATTTATTCTGCTGTCAACTATTTTTTCGTCTATAAACCTAAGCATATTCGTAAAATCATCGTCACACTGAGTATAACTATAGGTTTGATATATGGTATAAAATATTTATAATAAATCACACGTTTATCCAATGTCAAGATCATACAGTTGTCCCACAACAGAACTCCAAAATGATCAGTGTATTGCCATATTATTTAGATTATTATCTATTACACATTAATATAGGTAAGTAAGTATCCACTTATAAACTTTTCCTAAATAGTTTAATAGAGGTTTTGAAAATGTAAATGTGCAATATAATTAATTGTCATACAGGTATAATTTGAAGTATCTACCTAAATTCTAGTTCACTCTATATTGTGAAAATTTTATATATTATATTTTTTATATTATACATGTCACGTTTTGCGTATTTGTGTGTATGTATTATATTATTATGTTTAATGTGTGCATAGATAACATGCATATGACAATAATATTGTTTATCATTTTGTAGTTGTTGTTGTAGCTGGTTTTTATAATATTAGCACAAATACTAATTGTACTTGTTAACTAAATAGTTTGTGTTACTAAAATTATTACTCATGCATTATTATTACAACTAGTACATTTGCGCATTGCGCATATTGAGCTGTTGTGTGTGACACACACGACAGCTCTTTTAGGTTAGGTTAAGTATGTTATTTTTATGACTTATAATATATATTATTATATGTATATTATATTATGCACGATAAAAACAAATTTTATTTAATTGCATCTTTATGAATAACAATATTATCTATATTATTTTATTTGGTTTATGCCTCATACGTGTATACAAAACTCGTTTCGTTGAATTGTCAATTAAAATAACATCGTTTAAATTCGTTCGACAGTGACGTCGTAACTGAGATGTTGACATAATTAGAAAATAATATAAAAAAAAAACTACTCGCGCGTGTTATGATTTAGAAATAACATTTTTACGCAGAGCACAAATAACGGTGTCATATTAGACCGTTGGCAAAATCCGATATGACCCAGATCGTGTATAATAGCAAGTCGGAGGAACTAAGCTGGGCGTTTTCGAAAATCAAATGTGTTCGCAAATCAAAGTAACACTGATTTGTAACAATAAGTAATAATATTCTCACGTTATAATAATTTACACGATTTCACAGACTAGCGAATTTAAATGATATTATATAACCACGAAAATTAAAATTGATCTGACAGCTGACTTAAAATACAGAACACCGTATAACATGATATTGCCTTCAATCTGTATTTATTAAGTATAAGTATTACGGAACAAAAATCTCAGTAGTCGATACCACTGGAAAAAATGATAACATCTAATACATTACGGTTTAAAAATGTATACACGCAAATAAAATATAGTAAAAGCAATTAGTATATTATAAATATACGTTCTAATCAATATATGTATTAAACATAATTAATGATACATAAACCTATATACGTATATGAGTAAATAATAATAAAATATTATATGGTGATATTTTTTTAATAATTGAACAGTGATCTTATTTAAAAATGTCAACATTTTGGAAGAATATTTTTTTAAGATAATTTGAAGTCATTATAAAATACTATTTTTGAAAAATTTTACTTTTAATATTTTGTATTGTTTTAATTTTTTAGATTTCTTTAATGTTTTTAACAACAATTGACAACATAGTTTTTAATTTCATATCCTTGAGCAGAATAGTTTAGTGAGAATTTGAATATAATAATTTGGAAATTAGGACAATTAGTTAATTAGTTATAATTGTAAAAATATTAAATTTTAGATGAACAAAGTAGTGAATCAATAATCTATAAATTGCCTTTGTGCTACTCTAGTCAAATCATCTTAACTTTAAATACTTATAAAATAAGTTTTTATACATTGAAAATCTCAAAAAATATTCTATTTCGAAAAATGGTAACTATAAAAATATAACTTTTTTAAAAAAAAAGTTGGATAATGACTTCAAATTAAACTAAAAAAAAAAAAAATAAATATTTATTATGAATAAACTATTTGTTATTAGGTACTATATTATTTTTAGATTTAAGTTTTTATTTTTTTGTTCGTTGATTTTTTTTCAAACACTGAAATTTTGAATATGCATCATCCACGAATACCACTATTTCTGCTATGTAATACACGATTGTACATGTTAGTCTTTGAATAGTGGTGAAAAATTAATTTTTTTATGCTTTTTTTAACGATTTCATAAAAATTACAAAATTTAACATCACAAATATTTGTACAATTTTTGTATTTAATATTATGTGTCGCTGTTTACAGTTGTAAGTAATATTTCGTAAATTCTGCTGCATCGTATGTTATAATACAATAATTTATTATTACTATTATTTATTAAGTTTAATTTGTTGCCGCTTGACTTCTATACTAACAGTGTCTGTTTATTTAGATTTAATATTTCATTCGCCTAATTATTAAAATGTATATTATACTATTAAAATTGTAAATACAATTTAAAATAATAATTAAATTAAATCATTTTTATAGGAGAAACGCTGCAGCTTAATGCTGAGAGATCTTTGCACATGTTGAAAGGATCTGTAAAGCATATGCTAAAAATTTTTTAAATGTTAAGACGAAAAATACTTTGTTTGAATAAATAATTTCTGATCGTTATTTATCTCGTTTTTATCAAGTTTCTAAGTTATGTTTAAAACGTAAATAAAAATATTTTTGATATTTAGGATCCTTTTATAATTAATTTATTCAAATTTTGTTTATTAAATAATTTTTGAGTTCAGTAGTGATGTTAATTTCTATTTTTTAAACGAGAACCCTCCTATTTACTGTAAATTATTTAGTGGATATATTTTTTGATTTTCTTATACTTAATTCGAAGTTTGAATAAATTTTTTCTCAAATCAAAGTGTTTATATAAAAAAAGAAGTCTTTAAAATGGCTTGATAATAATTCAAATTAAATTTTATAATATACCGTTTTTCAATAAAAAAGGATCAGTCCTTAAGTGATATAAAAAATTTCAAGAATTTTAAAACACGATTTTTAAGTATAGATACTTGCGTTTAAAAATCCCAAAAATCAGATTTTAAACAATCGCATTATTGGACAAAAAAAGGAGATGAGGATGGTTGGTGAATCATCTTGTATATTACATTATGCTTATTGCTTATGCTTCTATACATTGTCGTATTATAATATTATTTTTTCAGGAGACGTGGCTTTGATTCATATTTCATCGTATGTGGGCGGGAGTTTACGGTTAAAACGGATTTTTTACCCACCGAATCGATCGTCTGTGGACCAGTTCGACGTTCCCACGCAAGCGAGTAAATATGCGTCCACACCAAAATTGCACTTATCATTGCACTGCAATATATCATGATATTATAATATCATTTTCTGCAATCAATCAATTATTTAGGTAGGCATACACCTACGCAAAACACAATATCGGTTTGTACACGGAAGCGTAACTAGGTATATTGTATCCGTCGTGGTAGCCTCGCTATACACACGAGCACGGGGCGGCGCGTATAGCGTCTAATATCGATCGGCGGCCGGTGCCCTCTCCGCCGCGGCCCCGGCGAGGAGGGCGCGCTCGGTCGTCGTCTAGCACGCGGACACTCGCACGCGCACGCGCTAGCGCACACCGACAGGAAGCGGCGGCCCCACGACGTCCCGAGTCCACGTCCACAGCGGAGCGCCGTAAGACAGGTCGCGCGGTCCCGTGTCCGCGCGCGTCCAGAGTTGCAGTGTGCGGCCGCGTGTTGTTTGAGTAACGCGGGCGGCGCGTGCGATGCGATCCCGGTCGCGGGTTACCGGCGGCACGACGACCACAGCGATTGCACTTGCACCGGCACCTGACGACGGCGACGGCGACGACGACGACGACGGCTATCACCACCTCCACCACCAATACCATCGCCGCCACCACCACCACGAACACCAACACCACCATCACGATCACCGCTGTCGCGACGGACCGCGTTATCGCATCACTATTATTCAAAGTCCCGCCGCCGATGCACCTTCGCCGACGACGGGACGCCGACCAGACGACCGCGACATCGACGGATATGGCCGAGGCGGTGACGAGCCGCTGAACCACGACCACGGCCACGGCGGACGACGGAGACGGCGGTGCGCTCGCGGATATACCGGCTCGACCGTGAGTACATCCGACGCCAGTGTATATTAGGTTTTGTCGTGCGGGCACGTGCGGCGCCGCTTCGGGTGTCTCCAGCGCGCGGATGCGGCGAGTCCGCGCGATTTCTACTCTGACCACTACGCTGTTCCGTCGCAATAATGCGGTGCATCCGATGCGCCGAAATACGAACTGTAGTCTTCTTACCAGTCGCACTGCTCGCCGCGTTCGCGTGTAGGACCATAGCGTAAGATACGTACGTTGCATTCGGAGAAAAATTCGATACCTATCGATCGTTGCAGTGGGGATAGTATCGGTCAGGTATCAATATAAGACCCAAGTCCGATACGGCTGGCGGGTCGTCTTGTATAGAAAAACCCGGATTAACAATAAATCGTGGTTAAACAATATAAGAGCTGTTTAATGGCTAGGTATATCTAACTGCAGATACGAAATCATACAAAAATATTAATTCTGCGTGAAAGCAACATTTGTATTGGAAAATATTGAAGTGCCGTGCATGAAAAATTGTGCTGTGACTTTTTCCAACTGTTAATCCGTCCACGAGTACCTATAGATATACGCATTGCACGGAATACAGAACATGTGACATCTTGAGAACGGTCGGTATTTCGAGACGATACGCACGGGCTGACTTCGGTCAAGCGATGATTTCTTTCAAAAAAAAGTTTCTTATACGACGCACGTACAGTCCTAACGTTTCGAGACTTACGTACTTCTAGTGTCAGATGATTTGAAATAAACTACTTTTTTTTTTTCGAATTTATAGACAAAAAAATACGTCAGACGTATTGGACTTAGCGTACTTAGCGAAATCCTAGTGACTTAGTTTTCTTACCGTTCAAACTCTGTGTAATGCACATTTTGCAAACCGACGATTTGTACCAGCAAATACACTTTTATCCGGTTCTAATCTTCGTAGGAAAATGCTATATTCCACGATACAATGGACACACCACTTTATTCTTGCGCGGATATAATTTTTAGTCGGTTTAGATGCTTTTCTGTCCTTTGAGATCTACGGATGATTTAATTTCAATCGACATTATACATAAAACAAGCAATCATCATTCCATGTTGTAAGTACGATTATTAGATTTGCTATCTTTATGATCATTATGCGAGTTTAATATAACAGACTTGCATAACAACAATGATTTTACTTTAATCGTATTCGAAATGTTATTGTGCGCAATGAAACGGTTTGTTTCATTTTCAAAGGGATAATTAATACGACGACGCTTGTATAAACACAATGTTGGTGTACGATATACCATATACGCACGTAGAGTACTAAATATATATAGGTACCTATGTCGTCTAATATATTTTATAATTTATTAATTCGTGTGTAACAGGATGTTTTAATTAACAGCTTAAACTGACTGATTCGTTAATAAACTCAATAAACACTGCTAAAATATTATATGCTTTATAGTAACACAGTACTTATAAATTATCTTATATCGGAGGAATCACCAGCTGTTGGTTTTCGATTTTATAGCGATATTATTAATATTATAATGTTTGATTCCCGAATGGTTGCTTGGATGCGAGCAAGTAATTGGTTAAAATTAATCGTCACAAGTTTTTATAATAATAAACATGTTATTGTATACGATATGCACAAAATAGACGAATCTGCAGTACACGTATAAGTTTAATTCCAGAGTTGCGAAGTGTATCATACTCACGAACTCGAACACGAGTCAGTAATGACTTAAGTCATTACTTATTTCCACGGGTTAGGATTTTAGAATTCGATTCACACACGCGGGCGCATCGGCGCTTACAGAGTCTTGTAAAGCTTCCTCGGTATTTGTTCAGGTTAGGATGTTCAGCTCAAATTTTTATCGAGCACTCACATACATCAAGTACACCCCGACCACGCAGTGTCTTCCTATTTACAAAATTTTCCGACGATAATACGTTTGTTACATTATACGTTAAACTATTATTGAAAAATATAACGTATTATAACGATAATATGTAGTTGACATTTACGAAATCTTTGTATTTGTAAGTATATTATTGCACTCGTGTTAAAAATATTTCAATGACCTATTTATGGACAATATTCATTAGAGTATTTAGCCGTGCACCAATAAACACTGATGACTCGTGAGTTGATATAATGCATAATACAATATAAACTACGTATACGAACGCTAAATGTTATTACTTATGCAAAAATAAAAAACTCGTAAATTAAAAATAATTTCTTTCATTGTTAATAATTGTGCTCTGTCGAATTCTTTATTATTACAAACTATGTACAAACGATGTTTATATATAGTACGTAATTATACACGTACCTATATGACTGTGAAATTCAATATTACATTGCAGGTGTATTGTGCAGCATATATTCGTTACATGTTATAATATACCGTCATGTACTTACTAAATAAAATAAAAACAATATAATATATTATATACAATATACCTATACCATTATTTGGTTCAAACAACTCAAAAGTCTCACGGTTACAATTTTTTTCCTCTTTCCCTTATGTGTGTGATTTATGTTTAAAAATATCCATTACATTTTTATCTCGAACACGAATCAGCTATATAATATCTAATGCGTTTTCAGTAAGTTATAGTGGGCAAACGACAATAGACTTATATACACATCTGTCTACCGCGAGGCCATTGGAGGTTGTAAATATAAAATTATATATACATATATTGATTATAAACATTTTCCGTTGTATAGACTGTAACATAAACAGCGCACTGATCACGTGTGCATTATATTGGAATGAGCTTATTTTATCTGTATGATTGACCATTGTGATGTTCCATAAATGAGATGTGTCATAATCGTATAATATTAATATAGTTGGATATATATATTGTGAATATATAACGCGTGCTTATATGGAAACTCGATTATCTCAAATATCAAAAATGCAGTACCCACACTGCCGTGAGACACCAAGTAAGTAAGTAATTCAATATCAAACCACTCTGACAATTATCGCATTTTAAAATAATTAACAACTTTATATACGAGTACTTAGCCTCACCTTCAGATGTCTGATGATTCTTGTGACATTTAAAAAAAAAAAACTTTAATATCGTTTTTTTGCATACACCAGTACTCGTTTTAAGCTTAATATATAGTTTAATTTACGTTTCTACTTTTAAACAAAAATTTTCTTATTAAATGAAAAGAAATACAATATATTTCAATATTATTATAAATCATTATCTACGATAGTAAATGTCGAAATAAAACCACCTTACAAAACATTACGTGTCCATTAGGTCTTATTGAATTTAGTTTTTGATTCTGGTGCAAAAATAAAATATATCCTTTAATAATACTGATTTTGATATAAATAATTTATTAGTCTAAATACAAATACTAGTTTTGTATAACAAACCCTAGTCTGTTTGAAATAAAAAAAAGTTGTTAGTAATATTTGTTAGTTACTAAATATATTATTATTATCATTACAGTCTTAATAATAATATTTTTTATCAAATTATCTTGAAATATACATGTTTATTTTTAATTTATGAATATTTCACTGTATTGTGTATCACAAAAGATAAAATCCTTGTTTTGGTAAACAAAAGGCTTTAAAAAATAAAAATAATATAATATTAATATTGATTATTAGTAGTTAGAATTTATAATAATAGGATTAATAATAAAAATAAGTATACACGATATAGTTTGTATATTGATAAAAATATTTCATAGATTAATTTCACTAATCAATAACCATCTCTTTACAAAATCTTAAGAATTACAAATTGTAAACAATTTTTTATTTTCGTAGGGATGTTTTATAAAATATTTATGAGGTAACTGATATAATATTTTACGACATTTATTTCAGAAAACATTACATTTTTAGATCTTATAATATATAGTTATAGATTGCTGATTATATTAAATTATATTATGGTATGCAATGAAGCATTTTTTATAGTATATTTTTATGGTTAATAATTTTATTTTTAAGTATATAAATAACTTATGTTTTTGAAACGATTTAAATAACAATATATGTAAATATTAGTATACTATCCAAAAATAGCTTTTTAAAATATTAATACTTCAAATGTTATCTAATTTTATAATAAGTCGCTGTTATACAAATATTTATTAATTAGCTGTCATACGATAAATTGTATATGTCATCATGAATATACCGTTAATACACTATGATTCATGGTACTTAATAATTAGAATCAAAAAATATTTATTGATTATGTTATAACACTCAAAATTTTGTAACAATGTTAGAGCTGAAATGAAAGTTATTCATTTTTAAAAAAAAATGTTAAAAAATTACCAAATTTTAATCTTAATTTTAATACTAAAAATAAATTAATCAATAATCAATTTGATATTAATCTGATAAATTTTTTTAAAGAAAGCCTTCAAATAAAACTTGATCATATTGACCCATATATTTATTGAGTTATAACAAATGTTTCTCTTTTTAGAATTAATGTTTTGGTGTAACGCCAAATATGTGTCAAATGATAATTTACTGAGGCGATTAAAAAATAAAATATATTTATAGATACCTATTTGTTGAAAAAAAATATATTATAGCCTTATTATAATATCATTAACCGACTCGTGCAACACAACCGGTAAATGTGTTATTCGTCTGAAATCTATATCGAAAATAAATTAGGTACCAATTATACATTTTATATTTTATTTTACTTAAAACAGTTTTGTAAATTTTAACAAGAATAGATTGTGTCATAATATATATTATGTGCAGTGTGCACAGTTGTTCGCTTAACCTATCTGACAATCATTCATCACTGTTGCAGAAACAAACGTCATTCAGTTGATAAAAATTTTTTACTACATTCTGGTGATCTTATTTCAAATAAAACTTTAAAAAATCTCATTGTGTACTAAAACTAACAACTAAGTTATTTTAACTTGATGACAATTTTTGCATAAGTGAATGTCACAGAAAATGATTCACACTCATTCATAATATCATCACGATACATCAATTATATTTATTATTTTGGAATTTGTTACTTATTATTTTAGTGAATTATAATAGCTATAGAATATCGTTATATATTATACATCACATCACTAAATACGTCTTTACTAAAATGAAAATATGTAGAAGTATGTCAACCAAGGGGCTTCTTAATTTTGTGAAACATATCTTTTCTTTCTTTCATCACATTAATTTATTGTTATATTTATTTAAACAGATAAACAATCAAAAAAAAATTCAAATTTAAAAAAAAAATGAAAATATAAATATACAGAGTTTATATTACAGTTGATAATAATAATAAGCTGTTTTTTTTGTTTCAGTGTATCGTTACCCAAATACTAAGCAATAATGAGTCTAAAGAAGAAACCCAAAGAAGACGACCACGAAGTATTGGCCGGAAAAGAAGAAGCTGTCCCAGGTGATTTGAATGATATACTATTCTTTGATAATTATGTTACACGACTAAAAGTTTGCGTATAAATGTTGTCAAATTATTCATGTATACTAAATATTACGAAGAACGCGCGTTCTATAGTAATTCAAACTTGCGTAAATTACTTCAAAAAAATCAAAAAGTATGATGTTTTATTTTAGGTACCTTAAACTTAATGGTTTTTTTTTTATATCTTTTACATACTATTTAGACAATTATATGATGTATTGACATTACGCTGCGTTAACCATGGTTGGTACGAATTTCTCTACATTCCTTTTTTATCATCCAAACATGTATTTTATATTGCACATAAATATAATAGCGTGTCCAAAGAATACTTTTTTAAGTTATGTATCCACATGAGTGTGTATATGTCCTGTTATTGGCCGCGTTTCACCACAGAGGTTAAGGATCAATAACACGATGATTTTTTTTTTTTAACTGGCCCAATAATTTTCGCATACTTTTGGCTTTGTTGAATAATATTTTTATACTTTTCAATCAATTGCAGTCGCTATTATTTTGGACGCTTGTTGTTTATCATGGGACCGGCAATGTGTGTGTTTGTGTGTGTGTGTGCGTGTGTGCGTGTGTGTGGGAGGGGACAACTTGTACAACCATTGCCAATGTCAGTGTACTAAATTCTAATACTATATAGATACTACATTATTACTGACTAGTGACTAACCTTTGGTCATGTCGTTCATTAGGTTTAAAAATACTCGTTGAGACACATAACCCCAATGTCCCTAATGAAGGTCATTCCTACCTTGAATATTAACTTTTAAAAACAACCGTAAATTCCGTAATAAACGGGTAAAATTGATACTGTCGAGACTCGAGAGAGAAAACTGTACAATGTGCCAAAAAAAAAAGGACTTTTCATTTAATGATCTAATAATAATTATTAAATAAACTACATTATATTATACGAGCTAAACTTTCAACTTGAATACATACTACTGGTGATAATTAATAAGTAATTAGTAATTACTTTTTGGCAGACCTATAAACTTTTGAAATTGCTTGTTAAAAGCTTCATTAATTACATTAATACATACAATTTTGCGTTTATGTGCACTTGTATTTCAAAAATATAATTGCCATAATATAAATATATTATAAAACTAATATGTAATATAAATAATAAACGTATCAACAATATTATGTATGTTTAACAAAACTAATTCAATATGTATGTATACAAAAGCAATATTAAACTAAATTAAAATTATCTTTATTTAAATAAATATTTTTAGTTATACATTTATTAAAACTGTTATTAGATTTATATATATCAGGTGATCCATTTAGTGTATGATATTCGTTATTTTAAAAACTATTAATGTATTTAAAAATATTTATTTTACATAATTTTAAGCCGTTTCTAAACAACATTTCTCTGAAACAAATATCTTATTTTAATATTTTTTAACTTTTTTATTTTTTAAACTACGATAAACACTTTTAATTCCTTGTTTTAAAGCAGAATTTAGATATACAAAAATTAAATTTTGAATGAATAATTTATGAATTATGAGTATTTAAATGAACTGAGAGAAGTAATAGAATTTTTATAAATACAAATGTTTTATTCATTTTATTTTTATATTTTATAATTTTTACTAAATATATTGTATTAATAAAAACGGGAAATTTTTTGTCAATTAAGGATTTGAAAAACACGATACAATAAAACCTAGTGAAAATTCTCAAAATAAATATTCGTTATAATTAATTATTTTTATTTTTTTTAATGTCAAATTTTTAAATGGTATAAAGCATATCATTTATATTAAATATGCTCTTAAAAATATGAAATTATTAAATATATAGAATTATGCACTATAAACTATTAATATTTTTTCATACGTGAAATGAATTTTAAGCTTACTTGTCAATAAATTTAATAGCCCAAAAAAAACATGCAAATGCAATAACTTCTAAGACCTTAACTAATAAAGAAATTGTTTGAAATTTAATTATATTTGATTTAAATACTCTGAATAATATTCTGCTTAGGTTAATGGAATTCAAAATGAATATTGTCATTATAAAATCAAAAGAATAAAAATTAAAACACTATCGTAAAAAATGGAAAAAAAATATTATTTTATAACGACTTAAAATTGTATAAAATAAATATTTTCAAAAACATAAATTTTTTTAATTAATAAGTGTCTTACGTTAAATAACATATATAATATATATCACTACGCGTTTATAAATTATGTATTAAAATTGATTGATCGTTGATGTTTGACATACTATATAAAATTAAATAATTATAAATTCATTAATACAAATTTTCTGTTATTACGTATCATTATTGATTTAACGATATAAGAACTTGAGTGAATAGGGTTCACTCAATTAAGAATAAATTAATTTTTATTATGGTTAAATTAAACGATTGAAAGTCTTAAATTAACAACAGTTAGTAAATACTTAAATTAACAAAAAAATAAAAAAAATAAAAAAAAATACACAAATGATTTAAAATATCTTTGTTTTAAAAATTAAATAGATATATCAATAAATTATTAAACTATCAAACATATTATATTGTTTAATATGTAGTTAAATACGTGCTTAAAAATTAAAACTAATCGATTATATTATGTAAATATATTTATTACTACAATAGTTAAAGATTATAAGTATAATAAATTATATGTTGTAATATTTAAATATACATTCCAAAACTAGGAATTTGTTCATAAGATTCCTGCTGTCAATATTTTGATTTTCGATAGATATAATAACAAGACATAATAGTGTGAACTAAAAATAAAATAACATAGTAATCATCAAATATCAGTCAGAAATAATATCTATAAATAATATTTGTTTGTAATTTTTTATATAATTACGTATTTAAATTATATATTTAGTAATTATTAGACTTTAAACGTATGTATGTGTATAATATAAACACATAATAATAAATTATACCTACATTAAGCATATTTATATATATATGTACAATAATTAGGTGCTAATTCTATTTAACAATAAACTATGTATATTTTATTGACAAGCAATTTTTTGACCATTTTAAAATATACTAAAAATTTCTACAAAAAAAGAAAGATTTATGAATTCGAATTATAATTATGAAGTTTAAAATCACGATTGATATGTTTAGCATTTTTCATTCATAACCATTGACCAATGGGTGATATCTGAAAATGCAACTACTTAAAGTTATTCATATATTAATCTATATTATACTAAAAGTGTTCGTATAATATTGTTATAGATAGTCAAAACTATGTACTCGTTCCTCCGGATGGTGGATGGGGATGGCTGGTGCTTCTGGGCAGCACATTGGTCAACATGCTAATTCCAGGTACCCTTAAATCATTTGGAGTGCTGTTTGTAGAGTTCACTGAAGCATTTCATGCGTCAGAAACCGCAGCCTCATGGATACCCGCCATTTGCTATTTTCTCTATTGTTCTTTAGGTAAATATTATTTATATTTTATTAGTATGCTATATAACTATCTTGTATAGAAAAAAACACGCTTATTTATCCAACACATTAATAATTGTGTTTATAATAGATGGATGTAAGATGACGCATCGTTATTTAAAACTACAGTATTATACATATTGTAGTTAATTAAAATAAACCATCTCAATTAAATAGTTTCACGTTTCTAATGATAAAAATTGCGTAATATAATAATTTTACTCTATTCGTAATTTTTAATTCACTGAATTATATTGAAATTTAAATGTCATAAAAATGTAATAAATTGATGGGTAGGTAACGATTTAATATTATAATGAGGCTAAAGTTATCAATAATCATAAACATTTCCTGAAGAAAAAATACTAAAATAAATCAATAATTGTATGTTATTTTATTAAAGCTTGAATATTTAAATGAAGTCAAATTTCATCTATGTATATGGAAAATAGTTACAAATTTATAAAAATCATAAAATTATATTTTAATTTATTCAATAATTTTTTATCGTCATCAATAGAAAAAAAGGCTGAAAAAATTTAAATATTTTTAAAATTTTACCATGTATAGAAAATGATATCAAACTCCTGGTGAAAATTTAAAGTTACGTAAAAATTCTCAGTTTTTTTTAATTGTATTTTATATTATTCATTTATTTTAAAAAGAATTGAGAATTTTTTACTTTGGACACCAAAATACTTACTACATATTATGTTCTATCAAAAATCAACCCCAAAATTAAAAACCTCAGCATTTCTATTGCCCAAAAGGAGATGACAAAAAAAAAGAACACACATTAATGTCAAATGTATACATTCATCGCTCCGCACAGTATCTAAAATGTTATATTACGATAAAAACTAAAACTAGTTGTAATTTATAAGTGATTAATACGGAGTTCTACCAAAAATCATTTAATTTAACTAATTTTTAACTAAATTCGGGTTTTTATTGCTAGAAATAATGCCTTAAAATAATTTTTTTTTTTTATTGAACTTAAGTCCGGCTTCTAAGACCATTAGCTGTTTGTAGGGGTTATGAACTATGGTAAGGGGTAAGGTTGGTATGGTAGGTTGTATTTTTTACGATTGTTACGGTTGACAGCAAACACATGTATGTGTGACAAGGTTTTTAACCACTATGATCCCGCGTGGTCACCCATCCGGGAGCTAGTAGCTATGGTCGTTACTTATTTGGTAGCAGCCAACGCGCCACGCCAAGCCACTTTAAATTATTATATTAACAAATGCTAGTAGTAATATGATTTAATTTGATTAACGATCAATATAGTTAATAGATATATGCCAATTACTCTGGTGTATCGATTACTATTGTAAAATTAATTGGAACCAATAATACTTGACTATATGTATATAATATTGTACATTATAAGTACAAATTTACGACAGAAATATTGGAAACAATTCTTGAATTATTTTTTAATGTCTTTAATAATCTATTGAATATTATACACGTTAATCATAACGTGATCATTATAATAAGTGGAAACAAAATAAATGTTTTGATAAATTATAAATATCATGAGCAAAACTTGTTTAAGTTTCAAAATGATTGATGACCCACATTCTCATAAATATATATATATCCCATAAGATACTTTATTCATTACTAAAATATATATATTATATTATTTATACTTAACATAATACAATTTATATCATCTTTTTCTATGATATATATTTTTGTAGTAAATAAATAAGTTTAATTTATTTATATTTTAATCATTATTAGAAATATTAAATGCCATAATTATTTTTAAATTGTTTTTTTATATATATTTATTAAAAATTCTTACAGTTTCAAATAATTAATTAAAATTTAAATATTTTACCAATTGGTTTGTTTTTTTTTTTTTTTTTGACAAATATAAAATAATCTAACATAATTTAATGGATAATGTATATTATTAAAATATTAATGACGTTTATTTTTCATATATGAATTAATTATTAAATATTTTACTAGTTTTGTAGTGATAATAATTTCTTCAGTTTCGTCTGAATCCTGTCTGTACAGTTTTATTAGTTCTTATTATATTAAAAGTTTTATGCTTACAAATAATATTTATTTATTTTTTTTGTTTTATAACTTTTATTTTTAATACATACAATCTATAAATAAGTTTTGCAATAAGCATGTTTGAGGATTTACATTATTGGCATGGTTGACATGACGAAGTTATCACCCAACGGTAACACTTACAGGCTAGAGAGTTAGAATTATTTAATTTCAGGTCGTGGTTCCAATTTCGCTTTAACCTTCTAGATGGGTTTCCAGGAATGAATTTAGAGTTTAGAGCAATGTTTTGAGGGTTAGAGTGGTTTGTAAGACGGGCACTGTGTATATGTTGAAATATACTTCCGAAATTGATGAAATCATCATATTTTACTCCGTTTTATTGGTGGTAAATGTTAGTATGATACACCCAAGGGAATAGTTTTTGCTTATATGTTGTTACACTTTATATTATTTGCGATATGTTCAAAGTATAAATTACATCGTTTATTCGTATTCAATTAAAATTATTAATAAACATGTTGTTCGTTTAGTTTATAATTAATTTAAGGATTGGTTCCGTAAATAATTTATAATAATAAGTATGAGTGGTATTTCGTGGATTTAGCTGCTTTATTCATTGTTTAAGCAAAAGCTTTCTACATTTAAGCATAAGCACTTGTATTCTACGCAAAAACAAAAAAATTTAGTAGGTGACATTGAAAAGGATCCATCTACGTTGCCTAATATATCGACAAAATTATTTCCTGGTACAAATTGGTTACATGGAAATACATATTATTTTAATTAAAATGTGTTATACTGCATGTACATTATTATAATGTTCTTTCGAGAAAGCCTATTAAATGTATTTAATATTAATTTTTGAATTAAAACATATTTTTATGATATAAATTAAAAAAATTATAATGAATGGGTAACTATAATATACATTATATTATTATATACATAAATCACTGAAGAATTTAAATGAGTTGTGTCAATGCATATTGATAATATTTTATAGGTAATCATTTATTTTAAGCACTAATACAAAGACTATAATAGTATTATGTTTAAAGATTATTAAATAAACAAATCATATTATAATCCATTTAATATTTTTATATGTATATATTAGGTCCTGTTTCAAGTTACCTATCATCAATATATTCATATCGTACAGTAACGTTAATCGGAGGCACTTTAGCTTCTATGGGATTGATGCTCTGTTATTTCGCCGACTCTATCACATTTTTATACTTCAGGTAAGTTACAAAAATATTTTAATTCTAATAGCAATATTATCATCTTACTTTACGTTAATTTCAAAGAAATGTATTAATACTCAATCAGTATTTTTCTTTGATCGTATTTGCATAATATGATTATTGCTTTCTATAGTTAATATCATAACATTATTTAATTATATATAATGGATGATTATTTGAACAGTAAAAACGTATTATCTTAAAGTGTATAATATTTTTTATAAAATATTTTTCTTTACATATTCTTTAATTAATTACAAAATATCATCGATTAAAAAAAATTTATTTCTTGATTTCTATAGTTATCATTTCCAAAACTAGTTTTTTCATATAATAACATACATTTTTAATTTATTAACAAGAGCGTCTTTTATTTTTCTGAGTATTTTGATACGTAAAAATGAAATTTCGAACGAATAGTTAATTATAATTATAAGTATAGATATTTAAAGTTTTAACAAGGTATGATGAAGTATAGCATAACTACAACACAGGTGTACCCAAACCTTGAAAAATGTGCAACTTTTAAAAACTTTCAAAAACCGACAATTTATAACTTATAAATATTCATGTACATTTTTAAAAACTGAAATAGGTAATCTGAAAAATGTTCTACTCTGGAATATGGAATTTAAAAATTCATTCAAAAAAATAAATACTTAAATCGTACTAATCATAACAAATATTGAAAAGTGATTTTTATTGTTTTGTAATAACTTTAGATAGTATTAAAATACAAATATTTCCAAAAAATTTTAATAGCTTTTGAAATAATAAGTGTATGTACACAGCATTGTATATACATGAATGGAAAAACCGTGTGTTTCTATCATCTTATCTTTGGTTTACTCTCTATAAGTATGATTGAAGTTTTAAAAATCAATATTTTGTCAATATTATTATTATTTGTTTGTCAATGCATTTATGTTCCGAATACTGAAAAAACTTTGATATATTTTTATTTAATTATTTTCATTTATTAACATTTTTTTTATAAATAAACCTATACTTGTATTCAACTATGTATTGATAAATTTTTTGATTCTTAAAAAAGCTTAAGGTATAGGTACAGTTGACCATGATAAAAACATTAAATAGACAAATCGGGCATACATAAACTGCGTCCGAAATTTTATTTATGTTAAAATGATGTAATGTAAACTGCGTCCAACAACTTAAGCTGTGTCTCGTTTCGACTTTCGACTTATTAAACATTTAAACTCTCTATGGTTGTGCATTTTTTCAATAATATCACAAAAATTTTATTTTCGTCTAGAAAGTAATTAGTGGTCAAACTCCAATTGATGAATTTGTAACAACAATATTTTATTATTTGAAATATTTGTAATTATTTTACTTTTTTTAATTCTAAATTTAATTTTAATTTTTCATATTACATGGTTGTAATGAATTAAGTATATAATAAAAATAATTTTGCAAAAATTTAACTATTGATTTTTAAAATTTTACCCGGGCGCAGTTTATATATCACCTTTTTACACTTGATATGTTATACATGTTGTACACAATAAAAATGATATCAAGATAATCTTATGAACGCGGCTATACATTTTTTTAATTAACAAGTGCGAAAATCCTTAATGATAATCAAAACAAATGTAATAATTCACTTATTATAAATTACTATAATAAAATGTATGCACTGCAGGTTAGTTAGTATTAAATGTTTATATTGAAACTGTAATTAGTGTTATCAATGAGAAAAACCTCAACAATTACCAAAAAAAATGTGTTTTCTTCTTTGCTTATTCATTTTTTACACCCATCAATACAATAAAATGTCAGTGCACAAACGTTATTTTTCTAATAAATTTAATGTACCTCATAGTTATTTTTTTTTAACCATGTTTGAATTTAATTAAAATTTTAAAAAGGGAAAACATATACATACCTTTGTTATTTAAAAAATAAAAAATATAACTATACAAATTATTAAATAATTAAAGATGATATTGTTAACAACAATAAAATACCATTGACGGTTATTTTTTATGCTGTTGAAATGTTAGAGGTTACTAAAATTAAAAGGTTTGATTTGATGAATAATACATTTGATTTTATAGTAATAATAAATCATTATGAATTGATATCATTAATTATAGTATAGTAGTAGGTATCTAAAATATACATTTTTTGGTCCGTATTTTACCATTAATCATCAATATTCATAACTATTATTATAGGAGTTGATATTTTATACTACAAAATAAGTATAGGTAATTGAAGCGTCTTTAATTAAATATGAATGTAAAACCCATTTTTATTTTTTCAATAATGAATTTTTATTTACTTTATACATCTATTTTTATTACTTTTATTTAGTATTATAACTATTTTATATTTTTATATATGCAATAAAAATGTAAAATATTATTTATATTTTTGACTTTTTGAGTTGTTTCAAATTAAGTTTCGAATATTTTTATCATTATAGATTCTAAAAACATATGATTTACTTGGTTATTAAATAATTTATTAGCCGATTTAATCATAATTTTGATATTTTAATTTTTAATTAAATATGACTCTACACTAGGTATACTATAAAATATTATTATTTTTATATATTTTATAGCTTAATTCACAAAAACTATAATCCATGGTACTCATAATATTTATATTTCTCATTTATAGTCCAGCAGTTACTGTTTAGGTTTTTTCCGATTCTATTGGGTTTTTATAATAATATATTTATCGACATTTTCCTATAGAAGTATAAATATCCTTACTAATTATTAATTATTAAAATATTTATTGAAATTTTGAATTATGCTATCTCAATGTCTCATTTTCAAAATATCTATAAAAATAATTACAGCATTTATGTATAATAAATCCATACAATTTTATAAATGTATATAGTGTATAGTGTGTATACAATATAATATTATATGACGTTCATATTTTTTGATTTTTACTAATCACAATTTTTACAATTGCATTAATTTATTTTTTATTTATTATTTTGCATATAAGATTGTTTTATATATGGACTGTTCATTAGTTATTAGATACATTATAAAACCTCTATGCAATACATGCACAGGATAATCGGTTATTTGTTGTGATATATCATGTATACAAATAATATAATAAAACTTTTGTATTACAATAGACTGTTAGGCCCAGGTGAGCATGGTGTATCTGATACTATGTAAAGTTTATGATCTGATCGCTAGTAAGATTCGGTGTATACGTCATTATTATTATTAAAATTATTTATACGTAGTTCCTGTGAAATTAAATCTAATCAGAGTTATATCAGTATCGACTTATTATGAACCTATTTATTTTAAAAAAATTGTTGACGCTTTAACTGTACAAAGAAAATAATTCAAGTAACACATTACATGTTTTTGACGAGATGCAGTTGAATAATTAGCTTTAGTTCATTAAGTATAACACTAACAACAATATCGATAATATTGAAGATAATATTATTGTTTATGTAACAAATTCTATTCGCGTCATTGACGTATTGTAGACGCTATCGAGTACCTAGATACAAACAAAATATAATAGTCAACACATTTTAAATCAATGTATTCATTCATAACAATCGCGTAGATTCAATGATAGTCTTATTGTATAATAATTTAAATAAGAATTTCTTACGGTTTTTTTTTTCTTATTATCTTATTAGAAAAATCATATCAAATCGATATCACGTAATTATATTATTACTCTTTTTTTCTTTTAAGAAAAATATACAAAATGTCACAATAAGCATATGTGAAGAAATTAGGAAAAAAAATATTATGAGATTATTTGTTTAAAAAGTCATCCAGTAGTAACACTTATTAGCTTACGGGTATAAAATAATATTATTATTTATATTGAAAAATTTTAATTAACTTATTAATCTGTTTATAAAGACTTATATAAATAAATAAATAAATTTATGTTAAAACTTTAAATAACACAAAATTAAATTTATATTATTTAATTAAAGTGTAGCAGTGTTTATGTCAATAATACTAATGGCAGTAATAATATTCCGTTCACGTTCTCCTTCATTTAGGTCAGAAAATACATTATTGAATGACGGCAACTGGATAGCACCTATCTATATTGCAGAAAATTCATATATTTCTGTGTGTTATCTAAATGTTTATGACTCTGAACAAACCTATCAATCGAAGCGACTCGCTAATTACAATGTGCTATACTTCAAGATCTAATTTCTTCTTAAAATCTCAGCAATGTCCATAAACAAACTTAACGGTTTATTTAAAAGTGATTTTATGCCTTTATTTCTTTTTATCGCGTTTTAAAAAATGTTTGAATGTTGACTATTTTGCTAACGGCCACGGACTATTGCGTGTTTCAGTTACGGGATGATGTTCGGCTGCGGTGCGGGCCTGGCGTTCCCTCCCGGCATATTCATCGTGACGTCGTACTTCGTCAAGTACCGCGGGTTCGCCAACGGAGTGGCCATATCTGGCAGCTGCTTGGGTTCCATGTTCCTGCCGCCGTTCCTGGGCTACCTGATCGACAACTACGGTTACAAGTACAAAAACAAAAACAAAATTCCTTCCCCCCCTCAAAACACGTGTCGTATACTACGTTATATTATAACATAATATATGTATATTAATATGATTGTTATGCGTACGCTCAAGTGCTATAAACCGAAACGGTCCGAAAACTCTTGCATATTATATTTATATAAATCGTTTGAAGTTTCGGGTCGCGTCGATCCCTTTCTCCACCCCGACCTTACCCCCACCCATCACCCTTCATCATGCCAAATATAAACCATAAAAACCACCCCGTAAATACATGTGTGCTCTGTGTGTGTGTGTGCGTGTGTGTGCGTATGTGCGTGCGTGCGTGTGTGTGGCGCAGGGAGGTGGTGCTGATACTCGGAGCCCTAACGCTCAACGTTTGGGTGGGCGCGATGCTGTACCATCCGGTCGAGCAGCACATGGTCAAGCAGTACGTGGACGATTGCGAGTGCGGAGACGACGGGCTGGACAGCGGCGGCGAAGCGGACGCGGCGGCGTCGTCGGTATCCCTGGCCTTGGCCGCGGCGAACTCGGTGACCGGTGGCAAAAGCTTGACGGAACTACACCGGTGTGGCGGCGATGACATCGGCGACGAGGACGGGCGGCACCAGGAGACCGTGTCCCTACTGGCGCAGAACCTCAACGGTTACGTGATCGTCAACGAGCTGAACGCGTCCAGCGTCAAAGTGCCGACGGACGACCGGTACCTGCTGGCCGGCGGCGGCGTGGCGGTCATCGCGGCGGTCAACAGCAAGTCGGCGGTCCGGGTGAACAACGGCGGCGATTCCGATTCGCTGAAGCCGCTGCAGGCGTTCAGCAGCTGCGGCTTGTTGCGGACCACCAGCGGCGGCGGCGCGGCCGACCACAACTTGCACTACCAACATCAGCACTGCAACCTGCTGGCGCCGGCGTTCCGGGGCGCGAACGGGTCGTCGTCGCTGTCGTCGCTGCGGTACGTCAGCACGCCGTTCCACGGCAGCACGTTGGTCAGCCTGTACGAGGACTCGCAGCCCAAGAAGAAGCAGGAACAGCAGCGGCGCCGCCGGCGGCGGGACAAGCGGAACAAACGGCGATCCGACAAGCAGTGCGAACGGTCGTCGCCGCCGCCGCTGCCGTCTGCGGAGACGAGAAGCGACGACGGCGACGACGGGACCGACGACGAGCGGACGTCGTCCCGCCGGAAAACCGTGGCCGGCGCGTTGCAGCTGCTGTCCGACCCGCTGTTCATCGTCATACTCGTGTCGAACGCCACCACGGCCATCGGGTACACCAACTCGGCCATCCTGCTGCCGTCGTACGCCATCAGCATCGGCCACGACAAGAGCAGCTCGCAGTACCTGCTGTCCGTGGTGGCCGTGCTCGACCTGGTCGGCCGGGTGGGCGGCAGCACGCTGTCCGACTGGATCCGGCTGGACAAGCGGTACTACTACCTGAGCGGGCTGGTCCTGTCGGGCGTCGCGCTGTTCGTGCTCCCGTTCGCCGACGACTACCCGACCATGTGTTGCGCGTGCGCCGCGTTCGGGCTCGGTTCCGGCGTCGTGGTCGGCATCACGGCCGTCATAATGGTCGACATGCTGGGCGAGGAGCGGCTGTCGTCGTCGTACGGCATATCGCTGTTCTGCAGCGGGCTCGTGCAACTCATCGGGCCGCCCGTGGCCGGTTACATATTCGAGACGATCGGTTCCTACAGGCCGGTGTTCCACGGCATGGGCGTCATACTGCTGTTCGGCGCCTCCACGTGGCTGCTGACTCCGTTCCTCAAGAAGAACCATCAACGCCACCACTGACTGCCGCGGTCGTCACTCATATTCTCTACGATAACAATATTACTTGGGCACCTAGGTGCCGCCTAGGTGCATACACACTCATAAACCTTACCCACACTGACAAACCGTCGTACACGTAATACGTATTATAATGTCTGTATAAATATAATAATATAAATACACAATAATTACAATATTACATGTCGAGTATGATACCATACGACAATTACACATATTTCCATTAGCCGACGCGTTAGGTATATATTATATGTATTATGCGGATATAGTGTAATTATTCATAGTTTACAAATATATACGTCATATATTGTTGTGCCCGGCGGCTTAATTTCGATGTTGTGAAAACAACGGACCAAAAATCTTCGAGAAAAACAGTAGATATGTAAATACTTGTTAAACCCAGCAATTATGTAAATCTAATTTTTGATATAATGATGGCTATCGTCACAGTCGTTACCGCGTGTCAATTATAATCATAATCATAGGTTTGGTTTGGATGTTTCTCCGTCAATATTGTGTGGGAAGTGTTTAAAAAAAAATTTAAAAAAATATGTGTTGATTCTTTTACCCGCGTTTTTACCAATCAGAGGTGAAACGGAGGCCCTCGAGGGACGCAAAATAGTAGAACACTGAATATCCGTTATAAAAAAAAAAAAAGAAATTTTGCAACACTGGAAATATGAACTGATTACTATGCCACTGATTAACATGCGATATAATATCACAATATTTTATTGATTACTCGCACTTCGTTTCGTTATAATGTTATTAATATGTCACGTACGGGTACGTCACAGAAATGATTCCGTTGTATAGAGACGTTTTTAATTTCATTCCTTTCCTCCTCTTCCAAGGCCAGTGTATTAATGATTTTAAGTAAATTCCGAAATCCGTGACTCGCAGATATGACGCATTAGAGATCGGCCGATTGCCACAAATACATGAATGTATTGATTTTCATTTAAACTTGTGCAGCGTAATGTTACATATTAGTTCGTGGTACGTTTCTTTAATACATCGACGATTGTTAAAATTATATTGGTAGATATAATAATATATAGTTTTCTAAAAGTTACATATCCGAGTTGAGCCAACAATGTTATGTCGGTGGCGGCTAAAAGAGCGCCATTCAAATAAGCCTTAACTCTTAGGCCGCCGTTTATCGTGTACCTCCAATCAAATATTTTTATAAGTTATAACTTACAACCTATTTTTAAACCGATTCGTTGGCCGTCAATTATTACTGTGTTTATTATTATCTCCGACGATATAGACCATTCCATCAGTGTACGCGTTTAAGCGACCGCCATTTCCGTAAATTCGTGTACGTCACCGCAGGAATTCGTACTTAAACAATGTTTACCTGTACAATGAAGTGGAGTGCTGAACAATTTTTATATTAAAGACAAGACAAAAACTAATGACAGAAAAGAAACAATATTGTTAAATATTTCTAAAGTTTATAATCATACACCTACCCGTTTTATTCTTGAGGCGATCACCTTGAAAAAATCCCCAAGGGAAGTCACTGCCTGTGCAACATCGATACAAGCGCGTACATACCATATCTCTATCACATAAAAAGTTCCTCGTTTGTACGTAGACATAATATACTATCATAAAATAAAGTATCGAATACGATACGTGCAATTTAATGTCGACGGTGCTATCCATTGACAAACTATTTTTGTTTAGATTCTTCCAACCCCCGAGTCACATTTTATATGTTATTATTGTTATTTCACGTAAATCATCTGTAATATCTGCAGTGACGCGTGCTAACATCTAACCCATTATAGCTCATATATTCTACTATTTTTTAAATGTATAGTTTATACTTTATCTCGATAAATTTTTTATTTTTTTACACGAATATAGACTCTATTTCCCTATTCTCGTACTCACGATCTTCGTGTTCATATAAGCCTCGACGGCCGTCGCTGTCATCCGTTTGAGACGGGTAACGTAAATATTATTCTATGTTTTGTTGAAACCAAAATGACGAATTTAAACACAGAAAATATATTGTCTATTTATTTTGTCTGTTCGTACCTGTTGTTTATTACAAATCTTCCGTGTCGGTTATCATATAAGTACCTACACAACACAAAATTATTATGATGTCGCTATTGAATTAGTAGTTACTTTGTTTTTTTTATTTATTTATTTTACTAAGAATTTGTATATAAACGTTCTACTAGAGATGGTGTATTTCTCGGAACTGAAAGATATCATATATAGTTAAAATAATTTAACGTTACATAATATTAATTGAGTTTTATTTACAACATCACTACTATACTATAATAGTCAAATCGACGATAGATATATAAATATAATATGAATTTATGTATATTTTTATTATTACAACTAATGAAACGTGAGAAATGTACTTTATATTTCGAATATTTCTAGTAAAATATTGTAATAATATTAGTGTATAGTATTACTAATAACGAAATATATTAATATATTTTCTAGACCATTATTTTAGTGTCTTTAATCATTTATTTTTATTTATTTTACTTGTATAAAAAATATATAAATCGATGTTATTCAATTAAAATATTATATAAATAAATATGTTTGTAATGTAATAATGTATTCCAGTCTTTTTCAGCGTGCCTACTCATATTTTATTTCAAACCTCAAATCATAACAATTATGTAAAGTTTAACCCAATTTATTGACTTCATATTGTAGAACGAAATACATCTCACGCTAAATAAAGGTCTGTGTATGATGACTGCAGCTATTAGGGAGTTATGCAGTATCGTCAGAGTCCCTACGTTCGACAGAAGTATTTAAGAAATTAAACCTTAAAGGTATACGTCATACTATTCAAAATTAGTTCTCGAATACGTTTTTTTCAAACCTGTTTTTGAGTTATATTAAAATAGCCAATAGGTAGACACGTGTACGAACTATTTAAAATAAGTGCGTTCCAAATAAATAAAAGATAAATGTTTCGATAGAATTGTTATGAGTGCTATGACCAATGGTAGTTATAAACAAATACAACTATACCTAACGGCGATCAGCAGTCATGAACATTTTGCAACCCTTGCACTTTCACTATGTAATTAATTTCATCGACGAGATCGACGAGGTTATTAAAAATAATAATATTGTTGTTAAGACTTAAGAATTAAAATTAACAAATATCTGTTAATACTGCACTGTTGCAATATTTACTCAAAAATTACCATCTCTACGCCCTTTTACTTTTAATTTGAACAAAGTCGAATTCTCAATCAATACCTACACATTGGACAGTTTCATTTTAGAATATGTCTAGTGAATAAGATGATGAGTGAAATTGCAATAATTTAGTTCAACTTTTAAAAACGCTATTTGCATCTTTATTTCTACTTTCATAATCTTCTAAAATATTTGATAAGTGAATTAGATAATAATATAATGATAAGATAACATATCTCCCATTGAAAATTCCTGGGCACGCCACTGGACGGCATCCAACAATTATAATAATAATAGGTATCAGGAGCAGTGCGTTATTTTAATATGATCACTATAGCTGTGATGTTTATATTAATTATTATTTATTAGCATTAACTGTATTAATACGCTATACTCTTACAAAAAAAAAAAAAAAAACTTTTTTTTTTTTTATATATAATAATATATTATTAATTATTATAATGTAAGCGGACTACTACATTAATACTACTAAAGAATTTAATTAATTTATAACTATATTATGATTTTTACATTAATTATTTAATATTTTTTAACAAACGGCACGATGTAATATTTATAAATTATACACGCATAATATTAATTTAGTGATCGATATTTGTCACGACAGATTTTATCTATAATACAAATAATTTGTCTATAAATAAATATTTAATACTCAAATGTAATTAGTGTGCAATCTAAAACTTTATTAATAATAAAATTAACATTTTAATATATAATAAATAAATTAGGAAATCGCATTCTAAGAGTGTAATAAATAGTGTAAGACTTCGAAACACACATTTTATTATTTATTTTTGATATTAATTTTTAACATATATTTTACCACGTGCTTAATATTTGATTATTTAAATACTTAAAGCACATATTCAAATTTACGTAAAATCCTAAACAAAACTTATAGCGCCGCATTTATTCTACGTCTTCCTTGCACAATTCCCTACATCCTTGTTTAGTGGTTACGTGGACTACCCATGATGATTTTAGATTATAATTTCAACCAGTAACACTAAGATGCAGTTTATCAAATCTAAAATGAAAATTATACAAAATAGATTATGAATATAATATATTTTATTCATATACAGAGATTTGATTTAACCCTACAATGCATGGTGTTGCCTATGGGCAACAATGTGTATAATAGCCTCTAATATCTAAAATACTTCTTGTAAAATGTTTATAAATACTTTTAAAAGTACTTAAGATGGTATATATTCATTTTTTAATTAAATATTTTTATTTCATGTACTCAAAGTTTAATAAATTTATAGTACCTAAGCACTTAATTGTTTACCTGTTATATATGCAGAAATAATTTACATATATTTTGATATTGACTAATGATTATATATTGATTTCAGAATATTTAGATCAGATTATTTATGAAATACTGTTCGTCAACAACGATTTCATGATCTACATTCTGTATACTAGTTCGCTACCAACAATAAATTCCAATGACCCTGATAAATGAATCAGATTCAGCGTACGAAGTGAATGTAAAAATAAAGTGCAAATTTTTCGAGATCGATGATAGAGCTAATTTGAATTAAATTAAAAATGTTTCATCAGAAATCATTGAATTAAGTGAAAAATAATATTAAAATCATATACATAGGTATTATTTCAAATCAGTGTAACCTCAGGTAGAAGCTGATTAAGGTCCAGTTCTATTAGATCATACTAATCAACTTAATTAGTTTTCATCGAATTTTAATTCAATTATTGTACTATCTTTTATACATCTATATTAACTAACTTGTCCAATAAGTTATTCACCTAAAATCTATATCAAAAAATTAAATTACCAATAATAATTTATTTTTTTTTTATTAATAAGTAATAACTTGTATACATTTTACACAGATTGTATCATATTTTGTGTTTTGATTACACAATGTTTGTTTAATTTATCTGAAAGTCATACTCCACTGTTCCAAAAACAAAAAAACATTCAATCAATAAAAATAATGTCCAACTTAACCTTAGTGGTCTTCTTTGAAGTGTAGCATAAAAATTCTCAATGCATATAAGTACCTACCAAAGTCAACAACTAAAATATTTCGGTTTACAGAGACATTACAGATAATTACTTCACGCTCGTTCAATAGCATAGCCAGGGGATGCCGAGTGGTCATTCACCCCCTTCCTATATTAGCTATATTTTTTATTTATTGACCTAACAATACATTAGTATTTAATATTTATAATGGTAATATAATATAATATATGCTGTGTTAAACACGAGAAGTTATAAATATATATTTATGTCCAGACTATGTATAGATGCAGGGGCGGACTGGACAAGGAGACAAAAGAACAATCACTTCCCGAGCCCTTGATAGTGTCAATAAAAATTATTCATATTTAAGTATAAAATGTAATATTAAAATATAATAGTAAACACCATTTATTTTCAAATGAATGAAAATTAATTGTGCACTATTAATTAAAAATATTTATTAATTAAAGTTTGATAATAATAGGTCCGGTTGATTAACCCTCCGGACCCCTCGATTCCCAGTCCGCCCCTATATGGATGGACTATGGCGGCGTATGTAATTTGCGCCAAAAACAACCCCCAAAAAAAAATAAAATATATGCCATTTGCGCCACATCTAAAAATTAATTTTGGTAATATGCGCCACTTTTTAAGTTTGTAATTTGCGCCAAATAAAACTAAATAAAAAGGCATTATGTAATCTGTACCATTATGTGCCTACTAAAATTGTAATTTGCGCCATTATTTACCTCATTAAAACTGTAACTATCGCCACTAATATTAAAATTATAAATAAATATATGTAAATAAAACAAACTCCATGTATATTAAATAGGTACATTTTCGTTTAGTAATAAAATATATAAAAATAAAATAAAAATCAATATAAAAATTATATTGGACACGCGTCGATACGTATTATTGTATATCCCAGGGACGGTCAAACTTTTTTCGGTCGCAATCTACTAAAAATATACTTCACCTTTGAGGATCGACTTCGATAAAAAAGTTTTTATTATTATTAAGTTACTATACCACCATAATTAATTTTCGTGAGCGTAGCCTAAAAATAAATTCTAGCACGATCGACTTTAAAATCTTTTGCGATCGACCAGTCGATCACGATCGACTGTTTGGCCGCCCCTGATATATCCTATGCGATATCAATAAATTTATCTGCTGTTAAATTCCAGCTGCAATTGAAGTTGGAAGTGTAGCACAAATTACATATTCTATTTCATTTACTGTTGTGGTGCAAAATACCATCTCCCAAACTATGGAAATAGGTAATTTGTGGAAAATTTTGGTAGAAATTGTTTAAATTTAATAATTTTTTAATCCCCTTTACCTTTAAGAATCCCTGCTATACTACTACACTCGTTCGTGAAGATTATAACATATATCAGCTATATATATTATTTTTGAATTTATTATTGCCATAAATAAATTATTATAATTATATATATATCGTCGTACATTACATAATATCACTAAAATATGTCCTTTATAAAAATAAAATATTTTTCCACTGTTGCAGAACTTGAGTATACACTACCTCTGGTCGAGTATAGTATATTCCCCGAGGAAATAAGAATAAACTAATGATACATTTACACCCCCAAGGTTAGATTTTGTATCATGTTTTATGATTATAAAACAACCGTTAAATTGTTTTTTTCGTGTCGGTTTGAAATTTTTGAACGCTGAATATTAATAATGTAGTAGAGAAAAAATAATCTTAATAAATAGTTGTGACATAATTTTTCAAACAAATTTTAATACGTAGGCTTGGTATTTTAAAGTATTAATTTGCTAAAAATAAACAAATACAAAATACACTGTTCAAAATTTAGAAATATTAGAATAAATCGAAAAAATTATGTTATTTTATTACATAAAAACAAAATAAATATTCAACACAATTTCCCCCCCCCCCTGTGCGGTCTTATAGTTCACAATGCCTTAAATCCGCCCCTGTTCGTCTATCAACATTTTATATATTCTTATTTATTTCTTTTATTTTATATATATATATTCTTAGTATAAACATTTTAATAAATTAGA